GGCAAGTTTTATAAATATATATACATATATTTTATTTGTAGAAAAAAAATATACAGCTTTTGTTATCGCGATATTTGACAGCAGAGAGACTCGACCGCTGGATTCTGGAATGTGACGGAATGTTGTAACCATAGTAACGCTCTTCAGGAAATTAAACGAGTAAAGTTAAACGTAGACCAGGTCAATAATAAGACCGTTTAGCGCTTCAAGGGGTCAACAGCTCGTTTTCCAGCGTTAACCGAACTCACCTGTGTTTCAGATAAACTCAGGCTGTTCGCCAGCTGCTTCCTCTCGGCTCCGACGACGTAGTGGTTCTTCTCGAAGGCTCGTTCCAGGCGGAGCAGCTGGGAGGGCGAGAAGGCCGTCCGGATGCGTTTGGGCTTCCTGGCGAAAGGACCGTGGAGGAGCAGGCTGTCCTGGGAGACGTCGTTACCTGATGCCAAAGTCAAACGTCACAGGAAGGGGCATCAGCTGGGACGTGCAAAAGGTAGTTTTCATTGGAGCTCCTCTAGGTTCTTACTGTTAGGCTGCTGCTATTATTCATATTATTATTATTATTATTGTTATTATGCTGCCTAATCAGCGGGGGAAAGTGATGTAGTGCATTTACTCAAGTAGGCCTGGGGAATCCAACATTAGCTCCACCTTTATCAGCTGCTGTACACAATAACGCATCAGTTAATTCGCCTATAATCCAGGAATATGTTCTAGCTACACCAATCTGAAATGTGCCATTGTGCATAAGCACTACTTTGATGCTACCAGTCCTGTTTTCGTCTGCTGCTTCTTCCACCACTGCGTGTTTCAATCAGAAATCCCTATATTGGCTCTGTTTTCGTTTTTACTCCAGAACCTTTTACATTCTCTCTCTAGTAGCTGTTGGATTAGGCCCATTTGGACTTGACGGTTAAGGAGACGGGAAGTTTCTTTGTTACCACGTCGGTGTTTAAAAAACATTTAGTTGGGTAGAATGGTTTTTAAACTGGGAGTACTTCATGTTTACAGTAGCATAACTAAAAAGAGTTTAGCCAAACTGACCAAACAGTCAAATAAACAATTGTATTGAAAAATACTGAATCCAGAGTGTGAGCAAAATTTTATTATCGTTATTTTTCCTGCGTACAGTTAATTAACTGGTTAGTTTTCACTAGATCTTGTTATGAATGAGAAAGATGGGAACATAATGTTTGTATTTTGCGTCCAACATTTCTGAAGACTCCTGCGCACAGTGATGGGGGCTGATTTGGGACTAGCCTGTTTGTATTATACACGAATTGTTTTTTTTTAAACCTCTTCTTTGTATCCAGTATAAATCATTAACAGAATCCACCAGAGGCCAAAATGGGATATCCGTTAATTAGCCTGTAGTGTGTGGAAAACGTGCTGTAATAATTCGGGGACATTTTATGGATTGTAAAAATAAATTTTCTGCCTAGAACTTTTAAGAATGCATGAAAATTAAGGTACAATTGGTGACATACAGTATAAACATGCAACAATAGGCCTTACAGATATGTCTATTAGATAATAAATCGCCGGAGGCTGTGATCAAATCCTCTGACGCTATAATACCTGTATCCAGGTTTCTTCTGATTTGCCTTTCTGTTCCAAATGATTGTCCTGGATTTTATCTACTTTGCCTCTAGTCTGTCTGTTGTGCGGGATATTTGTTTGACAGAAATTGAGCATAACCCGGGGCTTCTTGTATGGAAAAAAGAAATCAACATCCCTGCTTATCTTGCGCCGCTGTGGCTTTCTGAGAGTAGCTGCAGGGCGACTGAGAGCGCACCTCCACAACCTGGTGCGCTCTCGGTTATTGTTCAGCTAAGACATATTATCACTGCTGACGGCCACGTCCTGTTCACAGTGGCATGTCCAATAATTACCTGACATTACAATGAGTAAACTTCGGAGAAGTGCAGACTGAAGGGAGGTTTTCGGCCTCTGTGAAATGTATGGCTGTTTAATTATACAGGCTAATCATCTTATGATGGTACCAGGCAGTAAACCCGCAGGACGTCTGTGCATGTTACCATTTCTTTAGGCTACAAGAGTAAAATATGTATTTAAAAAAAATTGAGCTTCACTTACCTTGAAATCTGTGTCCAAAGAACCTGTTCCGTAGGACCCAGGGGTAGAAGTTGAGCGGGTCTCGGTGTTGCGTCCCGAAGAAGTGCGGATGCTGTAGGTGGGGGCCTCCGAGCTGGTGAGGAGCCACGGTGAGGGACGGGTGGCTTACCGTCTCTGGGAACACCAGCTCGGGGCTCTGGTAGAGGGACCTGGCCGGCGGAGCCTGGTAACCGTTCATTAAGGCGTCTGTGGTCGGGTTGGAGTAACTCAGAGCCGTGGGACAGATGGGATCGTCGGCTGTGAGAGGGTTCTCTTTGGCAACCAGAGACTCTATCGTGAAGCAGCGCTTGCCTGCAGACGAAAACATCATCTCTTGATAGCAACAGCAACCAATACCAAAAGAAAGTGTTCAGTCTTTGACCGTCCTCTTGTTGGAAAAGGTATCCTCCTGCTCAGAGATGCATGGTGATCAAAGACTGAGGGTGTGCCTGTCCAGCGGAGATACAGCTACAAAACTCAACAGTGCTGCAAATTGCTTTGATCCATGGAGTCTGTGCGCACTCGGGGTTTCTGTGCACAAGTGCGCACTAAGTTAAGTGCCTCCAACTCTCCTTGTGTTGACGCTGTGAAGGGAATGAGCTGATTGGACCACAGCACCTGCCAATGGGTCTCCTCAAGTACCTGCTTCATAGATCACACGAGACCGAGCAGCTTGGTTACAGAGACACGCTGAGAAAACGTGGGCTCCAATTAATGGGTCATTGTGCGTCATGTCCACCCTTAATATCTGGGTTTCTAAAGGGGAAACATTCTGCCCGTGGGGGAGAGAGATCCACTCGCTTCCAGCAGGTCCAGTCGTTTTTGTGTAGTGTCAATATCTGCAGCTCGTATGTCCAAAAAAGTTCAAGAAATTGTCTGCGGATACAAGTGGGATTTTTCATGGGTTCCAGTAACATGCAGGCCTCTTTTCACCTTGAGCGTCCAAAGATGAAACTTTTTACTGTGCCAACCACTAAGCACATGTACAATTATCACGGTTTTACCCTGAAATAAGCTTGAACTGCAAAACAGGAGGAGGTGCGTGTAGTCAAATAATTTAGTTTGACTTCAACCTAGATGTATATTTCACAGCCAACTCTTTTATTATTAATATTATTAATAATTTACTTTAGCCTTTTGTAGTAATCGTTTCCGCTGAGTCAGATTCATCTTGATAAAACTGGAATCAAGTTTCTTTTTCTCCACCAACCTAAATTGTTTTATTTCAAAATTCTATTAATTTATTTCCCTCCCGGTCCAAAATGTGATCGACCAAAAGGAATAAATATGGACATTACTTTTTAGCAGTTTCCCCCTTTTCCATCCTGATATTTCCATCCTGTACTAGAAATAACATCCTAATAGTAATAATAATAATAATAATCATGTGTTTTAATATACGTTCACTTACACCTACAATGATCTAAGTGCTGACAAAATCCCCCAGTGAAAAAAGAGTTTTTTTACTGGTGGATTACAGCTTGTTTATCTCACATGTCATTTAATCAGGTAATTGCCTTGTTCTTATTGCCACGCACGGGGCCAAACATTCAGCTATGGGAGATATTTTCCTCTTTTTAAGGCGGTTTCGTTTGTTTCAAGCTTTAATTACAAGACATCTTGGGAAATGGACTAAATAAGTCAGATCGTTCCTCTGGCATCCAGAAAGCGACTTGGCTCATGTTCACTTTAGAGAGAATGACGCCGTTTGTCCTCCATGAAACAGCAGTTAAGAAGCAGCCTGTAATTGCTGCCTTCTCCCTCGACGCTCGGCTGCCATGGTGCACTAACCAAGTTAATCAGTGTCCTCTTAATATGCTCGTTTGACTAGAGGTTGCATTAGAAAATCATTACCGATGGAAATGATGAGGTAAAACAAGTTGTTGATTAGGCGTTTAGAGCTAAAGGCTCCTAAAGACAAAAGGTTCTGGGAACGGGTCAGTGTCCAAAAACAGTTCTTCTCGTCCAGTTTAATTGTAAGGATTGTCTGAACAGCTAAATATCTAGAATTATTTCCTGGGTGGCTCTAAACACCTTTTTGCTTAAAACTGTTTCCCTGAAATATTCTCCCCCTGTTTCATGAGAGCTACTGCTGAGTTGAGTATAGGCCATTAAACCATTGTAATCTTATTAAAATGCTTGTTTAAGCCCATTTTATTGTCGAAATGCCGTCATTGCCTGTTGAATGTTCAGGATATAAACCTCTTCATTAAATCCATGTTTAGGTTAAAAGACTGAGCGACCCTATAGTTGTGATTAGGAGAGGAACGCAGGAAGATGTCAGATTAAAGTAAAATAAACAGCCATCAAGCTGGAGCTGACCGAGCCGCTCGAGTTTAATGATGAAACCGTGTGCGCCTTTACGCACTGACCCTGATCGCTGCTGGTTAATAGATGATGAAATGCTCTGCATGGCCAAATCAAAGCGGGGCTGTCTAACCTGCTGTTGATTTTCCTCCGAAGAAAGTTAGTGCCTCAGTCTTCAAACAACGAAATCCGTAGATCTGATATGTTGGATGGTTTAATATGTCTGATGTGATCTTTGGTGCATGTGTGGCGGGATGTGACCTTGGAGTTGTGTACATTTTGGTTTGTAATGTCCTCGGATATTGCAGTAAAATAGAAATAAAGTAGATAATGGTTAAATGAATTGTAAGCCTTATATTGCTATTATATTATGCCATCGGATTATATATTAATTTTTGGATACAGCTACAATATGGAAGAATGTCTTCAGTTGGAACACGGGTTACACACTAGTAAATTAAGCAGCTAAACTCAGATAGAGG